GGACGGTGGGGGGTGGGGAGCTGGGGAGAGATAGCAAGGGGAGAAATGCCAGATATAGGTGATGGGGAGGAAGGCAGCAAATCACACTGCCATGTATGTACCTATGTGACAATCCTGCATGTTCTTCACATGTACCCCAAAACCTAAAATGCAATAAAACAAATAAAAAAAAAGAAAATAGGAAGAAATATAAATAATCTTTGATCTCATCAACTAGAAATAACTGCTGTTCAAATTTTAGTATATTAATATAATTTAGTATATTGCTATAATTTTAGTATATTTCTAACCAAGTATGTTTCTATGCATAGGCTCATAAGAAAGGCATGATTTTATTGCAAAGTATAGTTTGTATTGTGCTTTTTCTAGTGTAATATTGTATGCCAGCATTTTCCAGGCCATGCTGTTGAAAGTTTTTTGAAAACTAACTTCTAATGATAACATATAGTGGCCCAAAAGGTGACTATAGTTTATTATACTTAAATGTGTCATAATGGGTTAAATTTTAAGTTTCTTGCATTTTTTTTTTAACTATTACAAATAATGTTGTGATAAACAGCTTTGCAAATTTGTATTCAGATCTGATTATTTCCTTGGGATAAGTCTTGTCATGTCAGTGATTGCCTTTTAAGCAGGAGTGTGATGGACTCATTTGTGTGTATAAAAGCCTTTGTACTCTTGTGTATAAGACAGCATTTGAAGAATGGATTGGAAAGAGGTTACTGGAGGCAAAGGGACTAATGCAGATGCTATTTAGGTGTTTGTTTGCATAACAGAGCTTTCAGTGCACATAATGAAATCTATCAGCATGTTTTACATATTAACTCCGGGTTGCAGGGCCTCCAAAGTGGCTGTAGGGAGAAGATGGTGACAGAAGGTTAATGATTCTTTTCTCTGAGATAGGAAATATCAAGGAGGAAGATGTTTGAAGGGTTGGCCTGGGAAGAGGGAAATTGTCAGCTCAGTATTAGCTGTGTTGCCTTTAAGACACTAAGGTAAAACTGTCAGGAAGATAGTTGACAAGAGCAGGATGTTAGGTAGTGGAAGTCATTCCCTCGGAGGTGCTGATGCTGAGACCCTGGACATGACAGCAGTTCTGGAGATCTGGGTGTTTAAGATAAGAAGATGTGGGACATAATCTGCAAGAAGACTTACTCCTAAGTTACAGACAAGGGGGAACTAGAGACGGAGCTGTGAGGTAAGTATGAAGAAAACCAAAAGAGACTACTGTTGAAGAAGCCAAGAGAGGCAAGTTGCAGCTCACTGCAACCTCTGCCTCCCAGGTTCAAGTGAATCTCCTGCCTCAGCCTCCCAAATAGCTGGGATTACAGGCGCCCGCTATCATGCCCAGCTAATTTTTGAATTTTTAGTAGAAATGGGGTTTCATCACATTGGCCAGGCTGGTCTCGAACTCCTGACCTCATGATCTGCCCGCCTCAGCCTCCCAAAGTGCTGGGATTACAGGCGTGAACCACCACACCAAGCTAGCCATCAGACTTTCTTTTTTTTTTT